GTGACTGGGGTAATTGGAATGGGTGTGTCAGAGGCAGTGAGGTTGGCGCAGGATAGAGCAGGGTTTAGGGCTGTTGTGCATAGGGTCGCTATGAGTCGCAAACGACTCGAAGGCACATAACAACAACAACAACAGTAGATATCTAACAATATTTATCACTATAGTCCCAATATTGAACAATATGGTCTGGTAAAATAAATTTATAAATGGTTGATGCAGTCTTTTAAATAATCAAAGAGTTAGATTTAATTTCTGTGGTTTTGTCTACCTTTGCTGCTTCAGTATATTTTCTTAAATATTAGGTTAAATTTATAGAACGTAAAGAGTTTGTCCTGAGAGTTTAAAGGAGTGTTAACTCACCTATTTGTAACAAAATAGAAAAAAAAAAACCAAAACACTGGATAATTTGAAGACTATTGACTATATCTAATAGTAGTAGTTGATGTTTCCTTATTATGTGTAATGTGCCAAATCCCAAATTAGCATATTTAAAATAAAAGCATGATTAATTAGCAACCTAATGAACTATTCTTGGCTAAACAATCTATTTTACTGATAAGGAAATGGAATTGTAAGTGAAATCTCTGCAGTAAATAAATATATATTGAAGAAAGAAATATAATAAGCGATGCTAATATGCTTCTAAGCTTTCTCTTTTTATCTTTTAAATTATCACTCTGTGTGTCTTCATATCATTCACCTAAGTAATTTAAAATTATAAGCATTTTAAAAATCGTATTTAATATTTTCTAGAACTAGGTAGGGAAAATTTAAAACATTAAATAAATGTGTGTGGACAATGTTTTCCTTTATTTAACCAAACCCTATGCCTTAACTAACAGGTCTTCAAAGAGTTGGCATTTGAACAGACTGACATAAAAACTCAGACAGAAATTCAGCTCCTTTGCAAAATAAACTCTACATAAATTTAGACTCTGGATTTTGACCTTAACCACTATAGCCGTATAATCTATCCCAATAAATGGTTGGAACCGTCCGTATATGTTCTCAGTGTATAAAAACAAAAATAAATCCCGCAGGTGCCTCAGACACTTCCTTCCTTCCTTCCACACCTGTTTTCAAGCCAAAGAGTGAGGACAACCAGTGATTTACCCTGGCAACTTGTAGGAAATGCAGGCTTCTACTTAATCAGACCTTCTTCTAGAGAAGAAAATCTTTCTTTGTGTTTTGCGCCCTCTCCTGGTAAAAATTACAAGGGTGGGAGGAGTATACTATTCTGACAACTGGTTTCTGTATGGGAGTAACTTGGAATCGATTGCCAAAGTGGAGTTTCAAATAGTGGCTTTTGGAAGAAAGGTCTGGGATCGTCTCAAAGATCATAGCCTTAAATCCTGTAAAATGCAATTCAAATCTTCACATGTGAGACCCATGGGGCAAGGTTTGTGGCTTGTTGTTTGTGTTCAGTTTTTAAAATTTTTATTTCTGTGTAATTTATGAGGCTTTAAAATCAAAGATATATATTGAAGTTTTAAGTGTGTCTGTGTGTGTGTGTGTGTATAATCTCCATTATTTTTAAGTTAAATGTGAAATAGGGCAATTGTATAAAAGAAGTTTGATAACTTAGTTAACCTTGTAGTCTTTCTCTCTCTTGCCCTCTACCCCTCAAATGATCTTGCTCTCTCTCTTCTCCAGGAGCTGGAAAACATCATCAGTCAGATGATGCATGTAGCTGAGTACCTTGAATGGGATGTCACCGAACTGAACCCAGTAGGTATATGAATGTTTCAACGGTTAGATACATTTCTGTCCCTTAAGCCGCTGTAATTTTTGCCTTCTCTGGGAACCTGATACATCATTTTGTCTTTTGTTAGCATTGACTTACTCTTTCCAGTGAGCAATCACAATCGAAGAGAATTAGGCATACATGGTAACCTGAAGCTCCTAGTGTTATCTGTTACAACTTTTCCTTATGCAAAAGAAATGGATCTGAATGACACTTTGATGGATAAAAATGTCAAGAATCGTTGAAGATCACTGCCAAGTCTGTGCCAGGCCATAAATGAATTTAAGAGTTGATGCATATATTGTCTTTTATATTCTCTATGAGTATCCTCCAACAAAACCCTAAAATTGTGTTTCTAAATTAGAATAAAAGTGACTAAAGAGATGATGATATTTCACTGTCATGTGTCTGTTTGATTTAATGTCTGCTTCTGCCTGTGGCTGTGTTGTTAGATGTTGAATCAGTTCTCCCTCGTTGTGACCCCATGTCCAGGGGGAAAAAATGGCACCTGTTCCTGTACAAGTTCACAGCTGTAGCTTTTGTTTAAGCCCATGGCTGCAGCTGCCACTTTGCCAATTCCACGTTGCATTGAGAGTCTTCCTCTTTTCCTCTCTGGCACAGATTCAACTATTTTCTTCATCTTACAGATGTGGATTTTCAGCCCCAAAGATGTTAAAGTTTTTCATCTAGCTTATCAGTGGGAATGAACAGTACCTAGAAGTGCTTACTTTAAAAAGTAATAGTCATATGTAATGTGATAGAGCTCTGGTGGCCTAGAGAGAAAGGACAGCAGTTCAAATCCACCAGCTTCTCTGTGGGAGAACAATGAGCAATCTCCTCGCATGTCATTTGCAGCCTCTGAAAATCACTAGATCAGCTATCAGTTTATTTCTACTTGAGGGTACACAATAACAACCTAGATAATGTAGTCCCCAAAAAATGGGACTATTTTCTTTACTGAGATTACATTTTTCTGTTCTAACATACATGACTTTTAGTTTAGCACATGACTTTTAGTTTAGATAGGAAATGTGTATGCTGTGTTCATCGTGAACGATGGATATCATCAACGGCTAAACATTCATTTTCAGAATGATATCACCTTATCACATTTAACACTGAGAATATCCTTTGGTTCTCCTCAATTCTGTTTTCATTGAAGTCAAGGAACTTATGAGTTCTGTTGTCTTATTTGTTTATGTTACTGCTAAACAATTTTCCCCTTTTCTAACCACCTTTCTACTTCTTGTTGTTGTTGTTATGTGTGGTCAAATTGCTTGTGACTCATAGCGACCCTATGTAAAACAGCCCTAAACTCTGTTCTGTCCTGTGTCAATCACATTGCCTCTGACACACCCATCCCAATTACCCCAGTCACTGAATCAATAATCAATCCACCTCCTAGAGGGCCTTCCTCTCCTGAGCCGTCCCTCCACCCTTCCAAGCATGATGTCCCTCTCCAAGGACCGGTACCACAATTATTTATCTATCAATAAGTCAGTTGAAGAATTACAAATTCAAATTGCCTTCCTCTGATGTGGCAGTACAACTCCTTACCACTAGGCCATCAGAGTTCCCTAACATCTTACTAACAGAAGACATATTCACACCCATTTACAAAATATCAATACAAAGTTTAGAGTATTAAGAAGTCTCTGGCAGCCTCATGAGTAAAGAGTTGTTCTGCCAATCCAAAAGCAGGCAGCTCAAAATTCACCAGCTACTCTAATCTGGAAGAGTAATTATTCTCAGAGGCACATCTATGCTTATGTAGACTCAAGTAGAAAGAGCGAGTGACTCTATGTCTGAATCTGCATGGCCTTACTGACCAAATGATAGTCATGGTAGATGTATTCCTGTCTTATATCACTGCAGACATTTAATTGTTATGATATGCCATTGAGTAGACTCCAATTTAGAACAACCCCACAGGAAGAACAGAACTGTCCTAGAGAATTCCTTAGCCTGGAGCCTTCTAGGAACCTGTTGCCAAGTCTTTACTTTCAAGAAGCAGCTGTGGGGTTTAAACGATCAAACTTTGGGTTTGCAGCTGAATGCTTAACCAATCCTCGTTGTTTGCTGTTGAGTCAGAACAGACCATAACTAACCCTCCAGTGGGTTTTCAGAGGCAGTAAATTGCATGAGAAGATACTGCCCATCCTTTTCCCATAGTGGAGCTGGTGGATTCGAGCCACATGCCTTCAGGATTGCAGCACAGGTTCTTACCACCATGGAATTATGGGTCTGAGAAAAAGGGAATGTGATGACATGATGCAGGTAGCAGGTGTAGCTGATATAACCAGGACATATACCTGCACCGTGGAGCTGCAGCTGTCATGACCGCTCTGGGAAGAGGAGGACAGAAACAGGAACAATGCTGCTGCAAGAGCAAAAGGAGAGCTTCTAGTGGGTGATTTCTTTTTTAGGAAGACTTTCTTTCTAGGTGTCTCTGTGTGTATTCAAACTCACAACTGTTCATTCTATGATCCAATGTCTTAACTGTTCATACTACCTAGAGTTTGAAGGATTGCCAAGGTGGATGAAGCTTGCCCATTTCCCTTGTGAAGTTTGTTGCTGTTTCAGTAATTGTTTCCTCTTGGTCAGTGGTTGTGCAATGTTTCTCATTGTAAACTAAGGCATTTGTTGTCTGAATGCACATGGGTATAGGGATATTTAGGTAGTAAAAGTGGTTCACAAATACCTAGTTACCTGTTTTTGAATTGTGGTGGTAGTGAATGTTAATTAATATCCCATGTATTTCCAAAGAACTAACACATCTGTTTTGGAGGAAATGCAACCAGGGTGCTCTATAGAGACAGAGATGGTAAAATTTTGTCTCATGTACTTTGAGCATTTTATCAGAAGGAAATCAGTCCTTGGAAGAAGACATCATGCTGGCATAGGGAGTTGGACTGACACAGTAATTGTAACACTGGGGTACATGAGGCATAGCTAGTGTGGATGGTGTAGGATACAGTGAGGTTCTGCTGTGCATAGAGTTTCTATGAGTCTTAGTAAAGTTGAAAAACCTAACAACAGGAACTCCAGCCATCTAAGCAGGCAAGTAGGTAAGCAAGGAGCTCTGGTGATATTGTCTACAGGGAGCTGTGTTGCTAACACAAAGGTTGCAGCTCTCTGGCAATTTGGATCTGCCAGCAACTCTCTGGGAGAATGAAGGGCAGTTGCATGTGTAAATTCAACCTGGGAAAACTAATGGAGGGGTCGCTCGCTGTCAGTTGATTCCAACCCCAACCCAATGAGTCTTAGCTTGACCTACCTAAAAGTCTCACAGCTTTAGGCAGAATATATGGAAGAAAGGCCTAACAATTTGATTCTGCTAAAATTTGCAGTCAAGAAAGCTCAATAAAATTGTAAAATGGTACAACCACTCTGGAAGATAATTTGACATTTCTTAAAAACACTGAGCATAGAAATTCCATATCACCCAGCTATTCCACTGCTAGAAATATACTTTGAGGAAAATAGAACTGAGATGCAAATGGAGATTTGTACACTGATGTTCGTAGCAGCTGTGTTCACAAGGCAGGAAAATAGTAACAGCCCAAATGTCCATAAACAAATGGACTGAGAAATTGTAGTACATTCATATGGTGGAATACTATGCAACACTCTGAAGCACCAGTTTAGCATAATACCGTATAACATGTGAGAGGCTAAAGAGCATTATGCTGAGTGAACTAACTCAGTCTCATTAGAGCAAATGCTGCATAAGACCATTACTCTAAAAATAGAAGGACGATTAAGATGTATATGAAAGTCTAAAGGGGATTGAGAGAGAGCCTGTGGAGTTGAGGGTAAGGAGGGGGGAGTCATGGGGTCTCAGAGTTTGGTGGGCAGAGGCAGGGAGGGAGGGAGTGAAAGAATAGGAAAGATCCCTGAGGACCTGAGAAGTTGAGAAGATAGTGGGCTTAGATCAATGGGGATTAATTTTATAAAACATAGTGTGTGGAAATAATCCTATGAAACACCAAGGGAATAAAGGAATGTGTGAAACAATGTACATGGATGAATCACAGAGCATAAAAATTTGTATATAAGCCAATATAAAATTTTAAAAAGGATCAGTGGAGGAGTTTTGCTCTTACACACATGAAGTCACTATGAATCAGAATTGACACAAAGGCCACAGGCATAAGAAGAGAGGTGAGTATTTGGAGATAATGACAGTTAAAAAAAGACTGAAATACTTCAAAGGAGTTTTATAATCCAGGTCTAGATTTATTAGACACTGAGGGCACACATTAGCCATCTGAAACAAGCACTATGTTCTCTTCTCTTTTCATTTATATACTTCTTCTAATTCCTCTATACGCCATTAAAGAACATTTTCCTTAGTTTGGTTTTTCAGGGAGCTCTTGTGATGTGATCTGCAGGGAATTGTTCTGCTAATCCAAAGTCTGGGACTCTTCAGTGGTTTGAATCCATCATATTTAAAAATTAGAAACCCTGTCTCTTACCATTAATTTTGAGAACCATGAAATTACTTTTCAGCTTCATTTTTTTTTTGTTCTAAACTTATCTTCCAAAGCTTTAGGTAAGTGATTGCTCTGAAAATAAAACAAAACAAAAAAACCTCTGAATTTCAAATATTTCCTGAGAAAAGACTACAGTCAAGGGCGCCTAGCAGTGTTTAGACATACAGAGGTCTGCCCCTCAAAATGCCTCGTGAGGTCAGGACAGTGCTGTTCCACAAAGAGGTAAACCTGCTCCTAACGCCCACTGAGGACACTGTGTGCAAGTCTTTAAGAAAGGAAGTTTGATCAAACCTGATTTGATTGCTTAACTTCTTGCCTATATTAAGTTCTGATAGACAATTAAAAGCAACTTAAGCCTCTTCTCACCTCACCACTTAACAAAGCAGCATTTCAGCTCTTTGCCATGAAGTTAATTTGCTGAGACATTTTCCAGCATATATTTGAGTTAAAAAAAAATAACCCGAAGAAAGTAATTAAAGATCACTTACAGTCTTACATTAGAGACATTGTCTTGTTTTAACTGAACTACACATTGGGAAAATATTAAAATGCTAAGCAATCATCTCTGACGATGTAAGTTTCACATGTCACGACCCAGATTGTTTCCTAGATAGCGTGATGGATGTTGCACTGACTTAGCTCGATATCTGTCTCACCTTTCTACTTGGCTACTAGTTACAGTTTGTTATAATTGATTTGGTGTTTTGCTTTGCTGTATCATAAGCAAATTACCTTTTTTTATGCATTATGCATTCCCCCCCATCTCCTCTTCTGTAGATCCTCCATGAAATGATGGAAGAGATTGACTACGATCATGATGGAACTGTGTCGCTTGAGGAGTGGATCCAGGGTGGGATGACAACAATTCCACTCCTTGTGCTGCTGGGCTTGGAAAATGTAAGCAATCACACAGAGGACGGGAGCCTGCCAGGGACTCAGAGGTGTTTTCTAGTCCATGTTCTGATGGGCAAGTCATCAGGCACTTTTCTCCTGTTAAGCATGGAGTGAATGCCTGGACCTTCTTCATAAGCATGCTATGGCGCAATTTGACAGTACATCTTTGAAGTTTTTCATTGTTGTTGGTGTGTGCCATAGAGTTGGAATCAATCTATAGCTGGCCATCTGACAGGTTTTCATGGACAGATAATCACACAGGATGAAATTGCCCATATTTCTACCATGGAGTATCTGGTGCGTTCAAATCATGTGACTTAGCTTCTCACCGTTGGGCCTTCAGAGGTCCTAACTCCTTGAGTATGTGGTTGCTGTTATGTACCATCAAGTCGCTTACCACTCATAAGGACCCTATGTACAACAGCTCTAAACTCTGCTCTATCCTGTGCCAATCTTATTGTCTCTGACACGCCTATCCCCACCACCCCAGTGACTGAATCAATCCATTTCATAGAGGGTCTTCTCTTGCACTGTCCCCCTATCCTTCCAAGTAGGACATCCCTCTTCAAGGATGATCCCTTCTTGAAACATGCCCAAAGTATGTCAGACAAAGCTTCAGAATCATTGACTGCAAGAAGCAGCCTGGTTTCACCATCTCTAGGATGAACCTACCATCTCTAGGATGAACCTGTTTGTTCTTCTGGCAGTCCATGGTATATTCAATACTCTTCTCCAGCATCACAACTCAAAAGCATCAGTTCTCCTTCTATCATTCCTAGTGATTGTATAGCTTTCTGATGCATAGCAAGTAATTGCATAGACTATGGCCTGGATCAGGTGCACCTTAGTCTCCAGACTGACATCGTTGCTTTCAGTACTCTGGAGAGGTCTCTGACAGCAGACTTTCCCAGTGCAATTTGTCTTTTAATCTCTCTCTCTCTCTCTCTCTCTCTCTTTGTGTGTGTGTGTGTGTGTGTGTGTGTGTCTTTGAGTCTATCCAAGTGAAAGTGATCCTGTATGTGGTGATAATACTGCCCCTTAGGGCTCTCCATGCTGTATACTTCACTGGAGCCAATTGTGAGATCTTCCTCAAGAGCAGCTATGGAGTTTGAACTGCCAAATGTTTGCTAAGCAGTCAACTGTTTAACCATTGTACCATCAGGATTCCTTGTTCAAACTTCTACCCTAAGCAAAAGTGATTTGTAGAGTCAAGAATGTACCAAAGTTACACAAGATAACCAAAATGTTAAAAGTGATTTCCTAAAATATCTCACAATCTGTCTTGGTGAAACATGAGTGTTATAAAAAAATATGATTTTATTGGCTTGGGAATCTATAAATGAGTTTTAAAACCATAGCATTTGGTCTTTTTTTTGTTCCCCTATGGGTCTTGAAATTCTTTTGCATTCAGTTGAATCATATCTTTTATGAGAATCATAAAATTTTAGAAATATTCAGAGAAGGAGAAGGGAAAAAGAACTAGTTTTATATATAGAAAATAGAAAAGTACTGTTGATATGAACATTTTGTAGGGGTTTCTGTAGAGGTGTGCATGTGTATATTTGTAAGTGCATGTGTTAAGTGTGTTTGTATCTGGTGGTCTAGTAGTAAGAAGCTGTGCTGAAATTCCAAAGGTGCACAGTTTAAATACACCAGCAGATCCACAGGAGGATGGGAAATATCCTGAATGATTTATTGCCTCTGAAAATACCCATTGGAGGGTCAGATATGAGTTAGTTCTGACTCAGTGACACACAACAACTATCTATCTAATACACACTTGAAATATTTTATTGTTCATACTTTTATATTCCTACATTTTAAAAGTAAGTCAAAGAATTACTCTCAGTACCTACCTTTTTATAGTACATATTACTTTTCTATAATGGCTTATTATATATTTGTTTTACAAAATTGTTATTCATTTCTGGTAAAAGTAATGGATATTCAATTATTTCAAGAAATTTTAAAAAATGGAGGAAATGTTACACTTTAAGATTCAGTATATACTCTGTTGAAATAGTTGTTCTGTCACTCCATCAAGAGGTTTCTATAATAAGGATCCATTATGGGAAATTTTGTATCTTTAAAGCTAAAATCTGATCAGTCTAAGTAGTTATGGAAATTGTAATATGAGAAAATGAGAGCAGTAGCAAGAATGAATGAGTAAAACATTTATTATGAAGGGATCAAAAAATGGAAAAATAAATGTGGTCTCTTAAAATGGTACTTTCCTTTTCGAATTTAATACTTAAAGTATTTTTTCTACTTTAAAATATTTTAAAATACTGGCACATATAGACTCTTGTTAAGCTATGAAAGTGGTATAAGTCAATAATACATGGATGGATCTAACTCAATGCTTTAAACAGACAAGACACATCATTCTAGCAGTGATGGTACTTTATCTGAATGGACATCTTAGTTTAATGTCCTTCAATTTAATTATTCATTACTTACTTTAGAAATTGATTTATACATTTGTATTTTACGTTTTGGTTGAAAAGGAATGTTTTTAGATTTTTATCAGAGACAAGTACTTAAGGTTTCATGGAAGGAATAGAGCTGTTTCAGAGTTGTGATCCCAGTTAATACCACTAGATGGCAGGGCTACATTGTTTTAACGCTGAGGACAACCGTGCATGCAGGGGATTAGAGTCCGTCCTCCCCCCACCCCCCCGCAGCTTTGCAGAACAATTCTGAAAGAAGACATTTCCCGTTTCTTTACTTTTTAAAATAAAAAAAGGACTTCAATATATTAATCTTATTTTACTGTAAGTATATAGTCCATAAGTTAAAGTGAGAAAATGGATTGTCTATTAGTTAGAAACAGTATTTTTACTAAGTCGTGATGTTTCCAAATGCAGGAATGGCATAAGTGAAGAGGGTCACTTAGTCGGGTGACTGAGATTTATTTCTTTTTCTGTAGGCAGTTAATGTGTTATTTTATTACCTGTAGACAACACGATCCATGGATAGATAGCACCTCCTCCCCTTTGCTTATTAAATCGTAAATCTCGATGCGTTAACGTGAATTTTCCCATTTGTTGTGAAGGCTGTCATTTTGATTGTCCTCTATATTCTTGTTTGTTTTCAATTATAAGCTCAGGGAGTAGATTCTAATTGATAGTGCATGCCAAATACCTCAGTGTATTTTAGAGTGACTGTGGTGTATCAGCCAAATTACACAGATAACCATGTTGTCCCAGGTGAGTAATCCTTGTTTCAAAGGCAAGTCAGTTTGCTTGTGATGTTATCACAGCTTATTTTTCTCCATCACAGGGTTTAAAAAGATGCCCTGTTTTCATGCTAATAGCAGTACAGTTTACCAAGCCCTGACCAACTGCTAGAGAATAAGAATAATTCCCTTTCTTTTCCATGAAATTCTTAAAAATCTTAAAATACTCAAGATAAGTTGATAAGAGGCATCCCATGTCTCAGCACACTCAAGGCAAGAAAAAAACAAATAAATGGTGGTTTGTTTGTTTTTTTAATTTGGTTACCACAATAAGAACTGAATATTTAAGACTTATTTTTCCTTCATCATTTATCTTATAAAAGATTATTTTCATATGAAGCTCAATTATGAGTGAAAATTATTTTTTAAAAGTAGCACTATCTAGAAATCGACTCTATTCCAAGCTGGCAAACTTTATCTGTAAAGGGCCAGATAATAAATATTTTAGGCTCTGTGACCGTTTAAAATATTCACCTCTGTTATTATAGTTGGAAACAAGCACAGGCATTTGGTAAGTTAAAGAGCACTTTTATATTCTGATGAAACTTTATTCATGAAAATAGAGAGCTGTATAATTTTTATAAAGCTATAGTTGTCAGTACCTGCTCTGTGTCATCAATCATTTGTAATGTCAAACAGAAACAATATTAATGTATTTTAAATCTTTTCAGAGCAAAGAATTTTACTGTCTTTTATTTAGCACAAACAGCTAACTTTAACAGAAAGTGGTGATTAATGAAGACATAGAACATGGAAGTGAACATGACATCATGCATGTCGTCACTCTTGCATCTATTTTCTTTTATATTTTTTGATTGTAAAGTTTATTTGGATTTCCTCATTTCTCTTGCATCTATTAAGAACTAACTAGATCTTTTCTTGTAAACACTTCTTCTGGACCAATGAAAGAAGCCACCCAAGAATACACCTCAGTTCTTTTAATATAATACAGACTCAGATATTTCTACTCCTAGATAAACATTAAAAACAGTGTTCCATTTCCTAAAACCTTTCATCTTTGACCATTATTGGATTATTCAAGGAAAAAAAAAATCATGAATTCATGAACTATAATAAAAATAGAAGTGTTGCTGTTGTTGAGTCCCATCAAGCTGGAAATGATTCACAGCTGACCCTCTAGAAGGTTTTCAGAGGCAGAGTTAATCTCACAGGAGGACGTTGCCCATCCTTCTCGTGTGGACCAGCTGGTGGATTAGAACCATATACCTTCAGGATTGCAGTGTAGTTTCTTAGCACTCAAGCACCAGAGCTCCCTTAAAAAGAGAAATCTCATTTTAAATAAGATTCTGGCTTGAAATAAAGATCCATTAACTTCTTTTTCTAGTTTTGTTGCTCTCACATGTATTTATTCTGTATAACTTGTTGATAGATATTTTTTTTATCTTCTTGTGCTTGAATAATTCTGGTCTTAACCTTAGTCTTTGTTCACATATATTTTGTTCCCAACTTAATAAAGTAAACTAACCTCTGACTTTACCTTCTAATGTCTAATGAAATTTCTTTTACTGAGGAAATTTCTGAGAATGCCAAAGAATATAAAGTTACGCATTCTTGAGAGACTACACTAGATTTGGAAAACTGATGTTTCATATTGTAATTCAAATAGGATAAAAGTTTTTATCCTTTGGTCTAGACATTGCCCAAATCCAGAAAAGAGTTACAAAAGCTGGAAAAAAACAATTGATTAGATTCTGTTGTGTTCACTCAAATTAACTAAGGTTCTTTCTATGTGCTATTGCATTTG